AGTCATGTTCTGTGTAATAGGAGGCAAGTTAAAGTGTTTAGCATTACCATCATTATGATGGAAAATGATCATAGAAATAGTTGAGTAAGTCGGAATTCAAGAAAGGTGCAATACTGCTCAGAATTGGCAGAAGTATTCAGTTGATAAAGCATGGACAAGCAATGAATTTTGATAAAGTTTTTTTGAAAGTTCGACTAATAAGAAGTGTCGTTCTGTAAGTTGCATTCTTTTCGTATAAGCCGTTCAAAGTTCTTTGAACTAGTAGAAGAAGTATTCTAACATTAAGTTTTACCTCCCAAGTTGGTTAGTATGAGTATTGTTTTTCACATATTGATGATACGTATATACGTGAGCAATCCAAATTATGTGCTTTAGCACAATGAGATTTAGATTTAGTAAATTTTAAATTACGAAGAATAGCCGGTATCAGTTTTAGACCAAAAGGTTCATTGGATAAGGAATCGAGATATTCCCCTCGTTTGTATAAAATGGAATTGCCACAGAGAATAAGATGCCATTTGGGAGGGATAAATTGATGTTAGAGTTTTAGATTTTAAAGTTTTTGATATATACTCAGATAATATATATCCCAGTTTCAGTATTTCCGAGGACGGAAATAGTTTTAAGGGGGGTAGAATGTAATATCTCATTCAGTTATTAGTAATAAGTATCAGTTTATTTCCAAGATTGAGCTATTTTGAGGCTTAAAAAGTTAAAATTTTACAGTTTTAAAGTCACACGGGTCGTGTGGGTAGCCACAATGGTCGTGTGAAGTCACACGGGTCGTGTGACAAGCCACACGGGTCGTGTGGCTCAAGGCACTATTCAAGTTTAGCTTCGTTTTTTTTCACACGGGTCGTGTGACTTAAGTGACACGGGTCGTGTGAGTTCACACGGGTCGTGTGACTTAGGTGACACGGGTCGTGTGGTGTCACACGGGTCGTGTGACTAGTGACACTGGTCGTGTGACCGACAAAATTTCAGATTTTTATGATTCGAGTTTGATGCCAACTAAAGTGTATTTTGAGCAATTAAATATGCTTAGCTGAAAATTTGAAATGTTTGGTAAGGACTTGTTTAAGTGATTAATTATTACAAGTTTTAAATTGTTTAATTTGTTAATTTCTTCACTCCAAATATTTTATTCCAAAGTTTTGGCTGTAAATAGAGGCTTCAAAAATCAGATTTTTACACCAAAGTAAAGATCAAAGTTATATTGAGAGTTTAAGTGAGGAGAAGTATTTTGGAGTAAAGGATTTTCAAGATATTCAAGTTCATATTCAAGTTCATATCAAGTCTTTCAAATTTCAAGTCCTTGAAGGAGGTAATTCATGCTTGTATTTGATGATTGAATCATGTTATTAGCAAAGCATGATTAGTATAAGTGATTCTTGTTAGAATTTAAGTATTTGATATCATGCATGAGTTATAAGTTGAGTAATGATTTAGTTTATGTTAGCATAATAGTATCCATTTCATGTTATTGATATGAGTTATCATGATGAGAAGTTGATAAAGTTATAAGTTGATAGCTTAATATGATGTGTTATTCATGTTAAGTGTAAGAGTATTAATTTCACAGTTGATGATGAGTAAATTGATAAGTTTAGCATCAAAATGTTCATAAGCATGCAATTTCATAAATTGTGCAAGTTTAGCTTTAACATGTTGAGTGAACATGTTGATATCATAATTTAATGTTATGATTGAGTTATAAGGATGAGCAAGTTTAATTGTTATAAATCATGAGTTAAGTTTGATGTTGGTAAGTTGAATATGTTGAGTTATGTATGTGAATTTGAGTTATTTCACTTACAAGATTTGCAAGCCAACATCTAAGTTATAAGGCATGATTTATGTGAGTATTGATTGAGTTTTAGTTGAATGTGTTAAGAAGACAATTCTATGCATTATTTCAAGAATAGAATATTGATATTATAATATGGTTTTGATAAGTTTTAAGTTACCATTTTTATTTCTAAGAAAGTTTAAGATGAGGTTTGAATCATGAATTTATGTATGTGGAATTTAGTTTATTTTCACTTTTAAGTTATTACATGGTATATGAGTTTATACTAACATCTAAGTTTCAAAATCATGATTCATATGATTTAAGTTTGGTATTAAGTAAAAGTTTAAGAATTTAAGATGTTCAATGAATTAATGTTCATTTGAGCTATAGCCGAAATTATCTTTAAGATTCGGATAAGTTATCAGTTAAAGTTAAGAATCCCAAAGTACTATTGAGAATACTATGAGCATAGTACTTAGTATATTTGTTTATATTTTTATGTAGTTGCAGATACAGCTACCAGTACAGCACTTACAGGTTTCAAAAGTTTTCAAGAAGAAAAGGTGGGAACCCAGACTGGGTAGTACATTGAGTATAATGGCTAGATCATGTTCAAAGGTATGTATATGAGTTAAAGTTATGCTTGGGGTGGAGGCGCAGTAGCCTTAATAAGCCATCCTAAGTAAGTTAAAGACTCACCCAGTCCAGACTGGGTTTTGGGGAGGCAGCCCCCAATATGTGATCACGTGAGAACCGGCAGTACAGTAGTTGCAAAGTTCAGTTAAAGTTACCGGACCAAAAGTCCGGGAGAAGCTTATATATACCTGTGATCATGATATTGATATTATTATTAATGTTTACTTTAGTATGAGTTTTTACGGAGTACAGTTGATTAGTACTCACGTCCCACTATTATCATTTTCAGGTAACATGGTCGGGCTGAGGGTGTGAGTCAAGCTGTTGTGGTGTCGGTTGTGCTTTCAGTTGTGCATTCAGTTGTGCATTCAGTTGTGAGATTATTAAAGTTTGATTGTGAAATTCAATAAGGCATCGGTTTGTAAATGCCACGCTTAAAGACTTCCGCTATGTATATTAAATTTGAACATGTGTGATTTGAAGTTTGATAATTAAGTAAAGTTTCTGTTTATTATTATAAATGAGTTTAGTTTCACACTTGTTTAAAATGTTTAATCTGTTTTATCGAGTTTAAGAAAACAGATTTTCAAAGAAGTTTAGTTTTAGTAGCATTCCGAGTTAAGAATATTTCGAAAAAGTTATAAGTATGTTTCGAAATAAGTTGCGAAAAATTTACTCTGATGAAGGGCGGTGTGCGTGGGAGGCAGCTGAAGGGTTTGAGGCGCAAGACTTAGAGTTCAAGAATACTTGGAGTGCAAGTCAAGCATTTATTTATTTTAATAGTATTAGGATTTTATTTCTATGTTGCTTTTCATTAATAATTTAGGAGATCTAAATAGGTTAGGCTTAGATTTATTTTATGCACCTATAAATAGGGGTATCCCCTCATTGTTTTGAATGTCTTGGAATTGATGGGTTAATAGAAAAGAACGCTTGTTCGAAACCGTGTGTTAGGATTCGTGAGAGTTCGATCATGCAATCGAATTAGTGAGGCTAAGACCCGAGCTAGTTCAAAATCGAGGGAGCGTGGCTAATTACCGAGTGAACTCAAGTATCATGAGAGAGTTAGGCTAATAACCGAGTCGATCACACCTATCAGTCGAGGGCGAGCTGTGGCGGGCTTGGTTCAAGGCAAGTCGCGTGGAACACAAACACACTATCCTTCATCATTGGTGCTTTCATTGAGAGTGATTGATTGTGTGTTTGGTTAACTTTTCCTATCCCATTATTTTTCTTTTTTTCCGATTTTTTCTTCCCCCTTGTTCGAATTTTTTTCGAATTTTTCTTCTTCTTTTTCGAAAAATTTTCGAGGGTATAAAAAAAAAGAAAAATATGAAGAGAGTCATGTTGAGATTTGAGTCGTTGGACGAGATGGATCTCGAAGATCTCGAATATCTCGAAAGCTTGGAGAAGAGTTTGACTCCGGATGAGCTAGAGTATTTGGAGGAGCTCCACGAATGGAAGGGCCGAGAAGAGGAGCATGCCAAAGAGGTTGAGAAAACCAAAGCCTTGAGCCAAGGAGATGAAGGTGCGTTGAACTTTCTAATCCTTGAGGACAAGGAAGGTCTTGAAGAGGAGGGGAGTGATACGGAAGTGGTCATCAACCCCGGTGAATCAAGCGATAGAATGGTCGAGGATCTCGATCTATGGTTGGAGAACATGCTCGAGTAGCCATCAAGCCTGATTTATTGGCCTTCGTGCGAGAGATATTGGTCGGAAGGATGTGGTCCACGGGCTAAGTTGAAGGCTAAGAAACGCCGGGCTAAAAGACGACGCAAAGCAAAGGCGCAAAAGGCAAGCCATTGTTGTGGGTCGTGCGCTAGGAAGAAAAGGGCATGGCGTTCGGAGTTTCGAAGGCGTGGTAGGATAGGGATGGAAGATGGCTGGATATGGCATGCTGGAGACTGTATTGGGTTGGATGGTTTGGACCCATGGCCATCGGGCGAGCAGCCGAAGGCGATCGACGACGGAGATGCGAGCACGGGCGAATGGCGCGCATCGTGCCATGATGCGCGCGAGCAAGTGGTCGACACGCAGGCGGCGTTGGGTGCACGGGAGTGCGCGGTAGGAGAGCGGACCAGGGACGTCGACTGGGACGCGCTGGAGTTCGGCGGTGAAAGCGCAGGGCGCGATAGGCGCGCGGGTGAGCAGTCTGCGGGTGTGCGCAGTACGTGCAACGCAGCAGGTGCGCGGGGATGCGTAGTAGGTGATTGGAGCCCTCGGGTGATGGGTGGGACGCGCGAAGCAGCGGGCGTGGTAGGGTGCGCCGTAGGTGATTGGGGCGCGGGCGGTAGCCAGGATGCGTGGGACCTAGACAGCGAAGACGCGGGGCACACGGCGCGCGCAAGTGAAGGCGACGCGAGCAACGTCCTAAGCCGAGTGGGTGTAGGAGTGCTGGGCGACGGTACGCACGCACGTGAGGAGT